ATCTTGCAAGCTGAAGCAGGGAACTGCTAAGGCAGCTGCACCCGATGCCACCATCACAAAACAAGAGACCCGAGAACTAGAAAGGCGAGGCTCACCACCCATTTATCCCTCTGCCTTTCAGTTAGCCCCACATGTGATTATCGGCCAGGCTGGCACAATTAACTAATTCACCTCCCTCCTGTGATAAGAATGACAGACAATGGCAAGGACCTGAGCTGGGTGGCTCTAAGAAGAACCTCTTGCCATGAAACTGGCACAGAGAAGGTGGTCCACGAACAGGCCAACAGGGGAGCGGTGGAACTTGGTGGCTTGGAAGCCCTGCAGATGCCTTCAGATGCCTTTTCAGTCCTGTGAACTCGGGGTGCATGTGCTTGCCCGGATTGGACTGGAGGACATGCAAAAGAGCAGACATACTGTATCTTCAGGAAGCCCCAGGCTTAGGAGAGAGAAGACACAGGAAACCACAGGACCCGTTCCAGAAAGTACTGCACTGAACATAACCGAGGGCCCAATGCCCCCAGAGCAAGTCTTTTGTGCAGTTCAAAAGCACCATGGGCAGTGTGGGCTCGAGTGAGTTATTCCAGAAAGCAGGGTGAGGTCAGCTGGGCTCTTCCCTGCCCCTCACCCATGACACCCACCCCCCTTCACGTTTCCAGGATCAAGCAGTGCACCACGGTGGGCATGGAGGACCTGGTGGTTATCCACCACGAGATGGGCCACGTACAGTATTTCATGCAGTACAAGAACTTGCCCGTGACCTTGCGAGAGGGAGCCAACCCTGGCTTTCACGAGGCGATTGGGGATGTGCTGGCCCTGTCCGTGTCCACCCCCAAGCACCTGCACAGCATCAACCTGCTGAGTAGCGAGGGTGGCGGCTACGGTGAGAGAGGGATGGGAGACTCTGGGGAGACTGAGGACCAGGAAGGGGTGGCCAAGATCCGGTTGGAAGAAAGGGGGGGATTTGGTGACCCAGGGGCAGAGGTTTGGGGCAGGTGGTAGGTAGCAAGGGGGCCGCCAACATGGTGATCCTGGGAGGATGGAATACACAAACCATCCAAGAGGTGGAAAGAGGCATGCGTGCGCACCCGCGCTACACACACACACACACACACACACACACACACACACACACACACAGCTATCGGGCCAGCAGGAAGCGGGAGCCCATCTGATGGCTGTGCCCTGTGCCCTTGCAGAACATGACATCAACTTTCTGATGAAGATGGCCTTGGAGAAGATCCCCTTCATCCCCTTCAGCTACCTCGTCGACGAGTGGCGCTGGAGGGTGTTTGATGGAAGCATCAGCCAGGAGAACTACAACCAGGAGTGGTGGAGCCTCAGGTTCAAGAATGCTTCTGGCGGGCCGTGGGGTGGGGGGTGGGGTGGCGCTCCTGGAGGTGGTGCACTCTGTGGGGGTCTGTGTGCCCAGACCTATGAGTCCGTGGGCAAGCCAGTGAGCCCACGTCTACCTGTGGGAGAGTGTGTCTGTGTGCCTGTGGTAACAGGAGCTGATGGAGGGTGCGTGTGTGATGTCTGTGTAGATGCCAGGTCAAAAATACTCTCCCAGCTGGTTTCTCCCCCTTCTCTCCTTCCATTGGGCCCTCCCCCTCAACAGGCTGAAGTACCAGGGCCTCTGCCCACCAGTGCCCAGGTCTCAAGGCGACTTTGACCCAGGGGCCAAGTTCCACATTCCTTCAAGTGTGCCCTATATCAGGTAAGGGGGAAGCAGGGGGACGGTGCCTGGAGTTTATCATTTACCATAGGTTCGCTACTCATCTTCAGGAAGAAACAAAATTACTCTGCACCATCCACCTCAGCAATGAAACACTTTTGTCCTAAAGTCCCTAATCTAGGATAAATTGTAAAGTCCCTAATCCAGGATAAATTGTAGGCATCTGCTTGTGCAGCCCCTGTGGATCATTCCAGCAGCCCCAACAGGCAGGGCCGCCCACTTTGGGGGACACTGATTTAGACCCTACAGAGCCCTGGTAGCATAGTGGTTACACATTTACCTACCAGCCATTCCCTGGGAGAAAGACGAGGCTTTATTCTGCTGTAAAGAGTTACAGTAAAAAAAAAAAAAAGAGTTACAGTCTCGGAAACCCACAGTGACAATTCTCCCTGTGCTATCGGGTCCCTGTGAGCCAGAATTTACTTGATGGCAATGAGTTTAGTTTGGGTTTTGATTTTGGGGACTGGTCACCCAGTCCAGTCCCCTGGGGAGCCTGGCCACAGGCTGCAGCGATGCTGGCCTGTTGGTTCTTTTCATATGATTAGAGTCCCAGGCATCCAAAGGGTTGGAAACAGAAATGCCACCTATGAAACTTGCCAGTGGTTGCCAGTCCACGGCTGGGCTGCTCACACTGACCAGGCCACATGATCACACCTTGACCTAAACACGGCTCCATTCCTTTTCTAAATGGAATTCTCAGTACCTGTCCAAATATTGTAGATATCGCCTGTGACCTCTTTTTAATTGTACCTGAAAAGACCCTTCTGTGCCCTAAAACTCAGGTGTAGCAACCCAGTGTTGTTAGGGGCATGGTTCTCAGGGACAGATTTAGGGTCAGACAGAACTGGGTTCAAATCCTTTCTCCACGACTAGGTTTCCTTGAGCAAATTCCTCAGTCTCTGTGAGCACCTGTTTGCTCATCTCACAGTGAACTTGGCTAACAATACCTGTGCTGTAATATCTCCCCACGGGTTACCTTCTTCCCATAATGCCTAGCACATAGCATGCTGGGGAAACGGTGGCCTTTGTAGTGCTCAGAGCAGCCGCCTTCCTCAGGTGATTCCAGAATCTGCGCCTTCCTGGGAAGCATGGGTCTGAGGACACCCCAGGGCACCTGGACCACAGATCGCAACCTTCCCAGGAAGCACCGTGCAGAGGGTGTCAGGGCCACTTCAGGCAGGCTCTGGTGGCTTCTAGTCATTCTTTTGGCCTTCTGGAAATTCACGGGGAATTCTTAACCATGCCCACCCTGCTCTCCCAGCACCTGACACAATGTTGGCATGCAGTCGAGCCCTAGCGAAGCATTATGGGAAATTCTGCCCTTGAGGGAGTCAGGGAGAAGCACTGGGGAGCAGCGGTGGGCCCCTGCGAACAGGTCTGGCCCAGAAAGCACTCCCAGAAGGTGCACACCCTACTCCCAAGATGGTTTCTGGGGTTCCCAGCCGGCCCTCTGAAGCCCTTGCAGATGGGATGGTTCACCTCCAAGCTTACTGGACGGTTCTCTAGGTAGGGATAGACAGAGGCTTTCAAAAAGATCCCACCAAGGAGGGAGGGGGGAAAATGAGGAGCTGATACCAAGGGCTCAAGTAGAAAGTAAATGTTTTGAGACTGATGATGGCAACAAATGTACAGATGTGCTTGACACAATGGATGGATGAAAGGATTGTGATAAGAATTGTACGAGCCCCCAATAAAATGATTTTTTCAAATCCCACCCAAAAGCAAAGGTGCATTCCAAATTCTGCCCAGCAGCCTTTGCAAAAGCCCATTGGCAGAATGCCCAGGCCCTACATGCAAAGGGGGAGTCCTGAGCGTCCAGCTGCCCCAGCCTTTGAGGGATTATTCCAGGCTGGACCAGATAGTTTCTACGGGGGCATCCCTGCCGCCTGGGGGCAACAGAGGTTCATTTGGACTGGCTTCTCCACTCAGATACCTGGGCTCTCCGGGAAACCCAGTGCAGGGACCCCAGCAGCCGACCTGAGTCCTCACTGCCTCACCACCACCACCACCCCTACACTCCTGATCCTGGGAGCCCGCAGGGTCCACAGGGGCTTTCCCGGACACCCCGACTACAGGGCCGTTGGGGACGCTGGCTCGGGTGTGTGGGGTGGGGGGCTGTCACAGGAGAGAGGGGCTGGGGCTCAGTGGCCCTCTCTCCACCCCAGGTACTTTATCAGCTTCGTGATCCAGTTTCAGTTCCACGAGGCGCTGTGCCAGGCCGCTGGCCACCAGGGCCCCCTGCACAGCTGTGACATCTACCGGTCTAAGGAAGCAGGGAAGCTCCTGGCGTGAGTCACACACAACACATGCACACCCACCAGCCTCGCTGCACCCCTGTGGGGGCCCCAGGTCGTCCCTCCCCACTCCTGCCTCCAGAGGCTGCCCAGGCCTCTGGATCTCAGAGGGGCGCGGAGGGTGGTCGCTGGGCCTTCTCACCAGCCCTCCTGACTCGCCCCCCTCCACCAGGGACGCCATGAAGCTGGGCCTCAGTAAGCCGTGGCCGGAAGCCATGCGGCTCATCACCGGGCAGCCCAATATGTCAGCCTCCTCCATGATGAAGTATTTCCAGCCGCTGCTGAACTGGCTACTCACGGAGAACGGGAGGCACGGGGAGAAGCTGGGCTGGCCGCAGTACAACTGGACGCCAAACTCGGGTACCACCACCCACCCCACCTCCAGCCCCAGGCCCAGGCCCCTCCCGAGCCCAGATGGCGGCGGCAGAGCAAGGACGGGGGAGCCAGACAAGGACCCCTAGCCCTGCCCAGCACCCTGCCCAGCACCCTGCTTCTCCTTGCTTCCCGCCCAGCTCGCTCTGAACCTGCCCCGCTGGACAGCGGCCGTGTCAACTTCCTGGGCCTGGACCTGGAGGCGCACCAGGCCCGCGTGGGCCAGTGGGTGCTGCTCTTCCTGGGGGTCGCCCTGATGGTGGCCACCTTGGGCCTGACTCAGAGGCTCCTCAGCATCCGCCATCACAGCTTCCACCGGCCGCACCGAGGGCCGCAGTTTGGTTCCGAAGTGGAGCTGAGACACTCCTGAGAGGGACCAGAGGGCCATTGGAGACGGGGCTGGGGCACCTGCCTCCTGCCCCGGAGCCCTCCTCGTCTGTCTGTCCGTCTGTCCGTCCTCCTGGACTCCAGCCACCCCCACCCTTGAACCCACCCCTCTCCTGTGTCCTGACGCCCAGCACCTAACGCAGAGCCCCCCTGCCCCCCGCCCAGTCTCTGTGAATGCAATTAAAGACCCTCTTCCGCACTGAGTCTGTCTGTCTGAGGGGGGCTGGGCACAGGGGCAGGCCTGCCCTCGTGCCTCCTGGCAGTCCGTGGAACACTTTGGTGGGTGGGTTTCTTTATTCCTGCCCAGAGACGAGCCCAGAAGAATGGGCCCCAAGCCTGACTCACCTCCAACCCAAGTAGCCACTGGGGTCCAGTATGGTGGGCAGAGAGCCAGCGGACGCCAGGGAGCATGTCAAGAGCAGATAGGATCCTGTACTTGAGACTCCACACTCTGCTCTGGCCTGGCCCCTTTCTGACTCCCTGCCTCAGGGATGCCAGGGCCCCAGAGGGAAGATGCTGGCTGTCCCCTAGTGGTCTGAGGGAGTGCACCCTGCTCGGCTTGCCTCGCTGTGGGTGTGGAACTGGCTTAGGTCACCTAGGCTTCTGCCTGCTCCTCTCAACGTCACCCTCTAAGGTCAGCAGTAGGGCCAAGTGGGCAGTCTCCCCCATGGAACCCCCGAGGCACTGTCCTCAGGGTCCCAGGGCCAGGCCCCGACCCTGAGTCTCACTGCCAGGGTGCCCTCACTGGAGCCTCTGGCTGTGCCTGCCTCCCCCCACACCCCCAATGCCTCCAGCATTCACCTGGAGCCTGTCCCTCGGCAGGGAGGAGCGGGGTTGAGGGAGTCATTTTTGAAGAGCGTTATAACTTGTATCAACACAGTGTAAAATATTTGGCAGCTGCAGATAATATAAACCCTCCGTCTCCGTGCCAAGAGGAAAGCACCTTTGGTGTAAATTCTTCGTCTTTTTCTTCCTGATACGTATTTCAGACGGGACCCGGTCATGGCAGGATGCACGTCCATGTCTCAGGCAACGGGACTGGATGTGTTTTTCAAATATTTCAACACCAAGCCTGGAAGGCGGTCAACTGGAAGGGGTCCCTTTTCTTCTACCATCAGCCTGTCCCCCCACCCCTCCACTCCCTTTGACCCTGAACCTCCTCCTGACTGCTGGTGCCTTGACCCTGGCTAAGCCTACCCCCCCAATCCTGGAGCCCTCCAGCTACCTCTGTGTGTGATTTATATCCATGGGGGGGAGGACGGGGGTCTATATTCGTGTGTGTGTGTGTGTGTGTGTGTGTGTGTGTATGTGTGTGTGTGTGTGTTCAGGTGTATCTGTGTCTGTCTCTCTGTAGATGTATGTATGTGTCTGTGTGCTTGTGTGCCTGTGTGTGTGGCTGCAGGTGTGGTTGTGCAAGCTTGTGACAGGATGTGGAGTGGAGGTTTTTTTTGGATGCGCAAGCGGGTGGATATTGTTTACAATTTGCTGGGACAATGTAGTTTATAAACATGTCCTCTAAATGGCTCTGCTATCAAGCCAAACAAAGTTTGATTGTTACCTTATTCCCTTTCCTGTGTTTGTGAACCACCCCCCAGGGGTGTGTGTGTGTGTGTGTGTGTGTGTGTGTGGTGTCTGGCTGGCTGTGGGAGCAGTGACAGCGTGAGTCACGAGGGTCCACAACAGAACGAGCTGCCTGGGGCAGAGAAATTTCACATTCGGGGGGGTGAAGGGGCGTGAAGCCAGCTCTTCCCAAAGGTTGCCAGCTGAGGCCTGAGGCCTTTTCCAGGCTGTGCCAAGTGACCTCTCCTCAGTGGCCAGCAGCTCTTTCCCGCATGGCCCATCGGTGGCTTGGTTGCCCCTCACTCGCTGCCCACCTCCAGACCCTGCCCTCCTATCACGTGAGTGAGTCCCGTGGCTCTGGAGTTGGCTTGAGTCAGATCCCACCACCGCACATAACTATCCGTGTGCCTCGACCAGTTGAATTTTCAGAGCCTCCGGGTGATTCCTAGCGCCCCCTCAATGATGTCTGTGCAGACTAGATAGGCTGCACTAGCCATCCGTAGTACCTCGTTCTCTCTCAGAACAGGTGCGTCAGCTCCTGATAGGGATTGGTTTATGCCACCCCCACCCTTCAACCATCTCAGCTGGAAGCACTTGCCAAGACTAAATCCAAACTGAAGCCACTGTCGAGTCGATTCTGAGGCGCCGTGAGCGAGCCCCTGGGCAGAGGAGAGCTGTCCCTTAGGGTTTCCAGGGTCACCATGGAAGCTGACTTGCCACATCGTTCTCCCTGGAGCCCCTGGGCGCTTTTGAACCACTGACCTTGTAGTTAGCAGCCCAGTGCTTTGTGCCACTCCGACTCCTCAAACCAAGACCAGCTCCCTCTGTGACAGAGAAGAAGCACCAGAGTGGCTCAGTGACAGAGACATACCTTCCAGTAACTTCCCCGTGACACCTCCCTGCACCACCGGCTGTTCGTTCCAGGAGCACAGTGAGTCTCTTCTGCTCGGAAAAGGCCCGGCCATCAGTCTTCTCTTGGTGGTTGTCTCTGCCCATCCTCTCCAGCCTCTGTCGGCTTCAGGGACTCCTGTCCGACCGAGTTGCAGCTTTCTGATCTGTCCTCCACAGGTCTCATCTCGTTCTGGGTCCTCCGCTCCAGGTGATTGCCAGGTGGGGGCCCTGGGTCCCAATTTTTCTTCTGCTCCTCAACCCACTGCTTAGCCTGTCTATTGAGGGAGGGGTTTGGGTTTCCTTATTTAATAACGGTGTCAGTCCAGATGGACTAGAGAAGCAAATTCATAGACACTCATATGTGTATAATCAAGAGCTTTATAAACAAGAGCAATTGTATATTGAGAAAACATCCCAGCCCAGTCCAGATCCAGTCCATAAGTCCGATATTAGCCCATATGTCCGATACCAGTCTATAAAGTCCTCTTCAGACTCAAGAACACATGCAATGACGCCGAATGCAGGAAGATCACAGGCCAGTGGGTGGCAAGTCTTGTGGATCCAGTGGTGGTGGAAGCATCTCAATGCTGGGGTGGGTCTCCGTGTGGCTCCTCCAGCTCCGGAGCGCTACCTCCATCAATGTAGCTCCATGTGGCTGGTCAACAGGAATGTCTCCCAGGGAGTGTGTGTCTGGCCTCCAGGGAGCTATTTATCTTCATTGCACCTCCAAATGAGGTCATCAAGCTGCGACCTGATTGACGGACTAGACCCCACCCCTTCGCAAGTTGACAGATTATGTTAATGCCACAATAACTATATATATATTTTTTATTTCTAGCATCTCGATTACTTTTCCAAACCTCCTGTGTTTTCACAAGGGTCCATTCTTGCTCTGCAGATGCCCTTCCTTCTCTGGCTGAGAGGCTTGAGTTTTAAGCCCCTTTCCGGTTAATCCCAGATCTGTCCTTCTGCAGAGGGTGCTGCCACCATTCCATGTGGCTCAGCCTCAGCAGAGGCCGTGGCACCAAATCGGGTGGATTTTCAGCCCCGCCTTCACTCGGCTCCATTTCCTCATCTGTGACGGTGGGGGTGGGGGGGTTACGATCACAGACTCACTTCACAACTGTGCCCCTCCGACGTTCCCCAAGGGCTAGCAACTGCCCAGTCAGAGTGGCTTATCATGATTGTCCCTACACTTATCATTGGGTTTTCCCCTACGCTTGGGAAGGTTAGCCTGTGAGCCATCTTCCAGGGGAATAGCCTGCTGCAGGGTCCCGGACATTTGGAGATGCCTCCGGGGTCTGTTTCATGGTTGCCTCTGGCGAGGCCCCCTTAGAGAAGCCATCTCCCAGTTCCCAGCTCTATCGAGGTGCTACTTCCAACCATGAGCACCAATCCACAAGCCAGCCGGCACCAAGACTGCATCCCTTTGGGCCTGGATGGACTTTACCCTTCCACAGGGACCACAGACACCCGCCCCCCCCAATTCTTCGTTTCTCGTATCCAGAGAGCCCCTTTCTTGCTTCCCAGCTCAGTTTGGCATTCTGCGTTTTAAAACATCAGACAGCTTGTCGGTATGTGCTTGAAGCATGAGTGGACCATCCCTAGGAGCCCCACTGAGTAGCCTAACAAGAAGTGTCACACATGTTTTTCTTGTGTTTTCAGTATAGTGTAAGGTGACCAGACATCCCGCTTTTGGCGGGACAGTCCCAATTTTTAACAATTTGTCCTGTGTCCCGTGGCGTTTTTTAGAAGTCCCGATTTTTGGAAAGAATGCACAAGCTAGGTTATATGGTTTTCAGCTGCCATGTGGCTATTTTGCAAGGATATGAGTTTTATCAATGGTGTCCCGCTTTACCAATGTGAAAATCTGGTCCCCTTAGTATAGTGTGGCCCCAGCAGATCATATTGTGAAGGTGATTTTGGCCATTACTCTGACTGTGAAGGTAGAGAATGGGGCACGATGTGGGCAGAGACCATTTGAGGAAGGTTACGTGAAGGAGCCCCCGATAGAGGGAGTTTGGGTGTTGGAAGAGGGTGTGCCTAGAGAGGAGACTCTAAAGTTGGAACAGATGGAACTGGAGGCTCCCCAGAATGTGCCAGATTTCTGGGGAGTCCCCAAAGGCGGCTGTCACCAAAGGGTACTCACACCAGGCTCAGGTCCCCATGGACACGCTCCCTGAATGGACAGTGCCCTCCACACCCTGTGGCTGGGCCAGGCTGACCAAACTTCTGCCCGTCCTGTGCAGCCTTCGAGCCCTGTGCCCCGTCTTGATGGCACGCTGGTGGCAGATGCCCTCATACAGGAGAGAGAAAGATGCTGAAAAATGTGAGCACAGGAAATCAAGTCAGACGCACCGAGTCCAGAGACCCAGTGATATCACTTCTATCCATCCATCCCTCCTCGCCGCTCAGAGCTGACGCCAGCCTGCTGCGCCTCATCATTCCTTGACCAAGAACCTGAGCGGCTGCGATCCCTGGAGAAGCAAGCCACGTGATCTGGAACAAATTCCGGCCTAAACGTCAAAATCCTGGATTCTCTTGGCTCTGCTGTTACCTAGCTATGGGAACCAAGCTCAACCGCTGGACCATTCGGAGCCTCAGTCTCCCTGCCTGTAAAATAGGGATAGTTGGACCAGAGGCTAAGGTGAAGCTGCCCAGTTATGACATTCTATGGCAAGCCCTTTGGCCCCTGATGTCACAATATGGAGTCAGACCCTGATTGGCCAATAGACACACGCACCTCTGCTCTTCTCTTGGTCATGGGCAGAAGATGGACTAGCCCTGGATCTTTCCTACTTGTGCTCCTCTGTTTCGGACAGCTCTTGTCATGGCTCAGGACCGAAGATGCTCACATCCCAGGTAGGGCTGGGACCCGAAGGAGCACAGGGGACTGGCTGAGGCAGGTCCCTCCCAGGTCAGCATGATGCCTATCTCCTTCCCACAGGTTTGTTCTACAGAGAGAGCATCGCCGTGGAGTTCCTGAAGTTTTATGAAAAAACAGCCCAGATGGTGTGGAACGAATTCAGGGAGGCCAGTTGGAACTACGTCACCAACATCACCCAGAAAAATCAGGAGGAGATGGTGTGGTATCACCTCCACTCTAACTCTGCTTCTAGATCGTATCAGGGGTCCTAGGGGAGGTGGGAGACCATGCCCTCTGACCCCTATTCAGAATCGGAAGCCCCCAAAGGACATGCCAAAGCAGACTGAAAACCCCTGGCCTCTTGGTGATGCCTAAACTCTTTCTCGAGCAAGGATCTCTTGCTTCTTGCCCCTTGGGATGCTCACGTCCTTGGTTGTGGGACCCAGACTCTCTCCCTGCAAATCTCCAAAGCTTCAAATGGGCCTGAGGGCAGATGGGCGGGTGTTGCCCTGGAGTTTCAGATGGGGCCCTCGTCCACTCGGGGCTCTCTGGACACACCTGGTGACTCTCTTCCCCAGCTGCACAAGGATATCGAGAGGTCCCAGCACACCCTGTACTTCGGCACCAGGGCCCGCCTCTTTAACGCCACCGCTTTCCAGAACCCCATCATAAGGCACATGCTGAGAAAGGTGCAGCACATGGGCAAGGCGGCCCTGCCCGCGAAGGAGCTCCGGGAGGTGATGGACGGAACCCCAGGCCTCCAGGCACACGCACCCCCTCCCCAGGGCGAGTCTGGGGCAAAAGGGAGGCCGGGAGGGGCTGGGGGTCGGGTTGGGGGGCTGGGGGGAGGAGGGAAGCAGAGGCCTCCGGAAGGTGGGGTGAGTGCTGGGGGGGGACCCGAGGGAGCAGGCCTGTCCTGGGTGACACCTGCTTTCCCAGTACAACAAGATCCTGACCTACATGGAGACAATGTACAGCATGGCCGAGGTGTGCATGCAAGAAGGGCCCTGCCTCTACCTGAAGCCTGGTGAGCAGCCTGAGCCCCGCTCCCATCCCCACCCCTGCCCCAGCCCCCCCCAGTCCCTTCCCTTCCGGGCCTCCAGGCCCCTGGCTTCTTCCTCCCTTCTTGAGCTGGGAAGACCTACACGGACGTGGGCACCCGGCAGGCTCTATCCTTGACCTCTTTCCCGGCCCAGACCTTGAAGAACTGATGGCCACCTCCCGGGACCAGAAAGAGTTGCTGTGGGCCTGGCAGGGCTGGAGGGACGCCACGGGCCGCCCACTACGCACCACCTTTGAGCGCTACGTGCAGCTCAGCAACAAAGCTGCCAGGCTCAACGGTGAGGCCTTGCCTAAGCAGACACGGCCCCAGAGCACCACCGAGGAAGGGGCTGACTCGGAGGCTGCTGGCTGACATCGGGGTCGGGGTTGGAGTCGGGGTCAGGGAGCAGCCCAGAGACGGTGTTCAGGAAGCCTGCCACCAGCCCTGGACAGGCATGGCCCATCCTGACGGCCCTGGTACACAGTGACACAGCACCGGTTGAGTACGGGCCCAGGTGGGGAGGAACTGAGGCAAGAAGACACAGGAGGGGGCTTGGCCTCAGAGCGAGAGACACACCCCTTCAAGTAACACCCCCCACTCCCACCCCCGCATCCCATCACCACTCGGGCTGGGTGCCAAGAAGGGGCTGCAGACAAAGCTCCACACTCGCCCCAGGGCTGGAGGGGACTGAGAGCAAGAAGTCCAAGGCTGGGCCCCGGGTCTCTGGTGGAGGTCAGAGGTTGGAGGTCATGGGGGGGGTAGGGCTCCCGGAGAGGCTGTGGCCCAGAGAGGAGCTCGGATGACTGGCTCTCACCTGGTGTTTTTCCATCCCTGATCAGATCCCACCGGGCCAACAGGCCAGGGAGAGAGTGTGCCCATTTCACAGATGAAGATGCGGAGGGGTCTGGGGGGTGAAGGGGCATGGCTCTATCACTTGCCCGCAGCCCGGGGCGGTGGGCGCCTGGTGGAGTCCCCTCTGCTGCCCTAGGTTACAGAGACATGGGGGCCTTGTGGCGCATGGAGTACGACGTGGAGAACGAGGCCAGCGACCTGGAGCACAGCCTGGAGCAGTTGTTCACGGAGCTGCAGCCGCTCTACCTGAACCTGCACGCCTACGTGCGCCGCGCCCTGCACCGCCACTACGGGCCCCAGACCATCAACCTGAGGGGGCCCATCCCTGCCCACCTCCTGGGTAAACACGGGGCTGGGGCCAGCCTGAGATGTAGGCTCTTGGTCATCAGTAAGTGGGGAGGCCTCTCCCACTGCCTCTTAGCCCCGTCCTCTCCCCCCAGGGAGCATGTGGGCTCAGTCCTGGGTCAACATCTTAGACCTGGTCTTGCCCTATCCGAAGAAGCCCCTGGAAGATGTCACCAAGATCATGAGAGACCAGGTCAGTGCTGGGCCTTGACTGCCCGGCCCCTCCCTGCCCCTGGGCCCTCAGTCACTCCCCATGCACCCCATCTTCCCATAGCACTGGAAGCCCCAGAAAATGTTCGAAGAGGCTGAAAATTTCTACACCTCGCTGGGCATGCTGCCCCTCCCCACCGAGTTCTGGATCAAGTCCATGCTGGAGAAGCCGGTGGATGGGCGGGAGGTGGTGTGCCACGCCTCTGCCTGGGACTTCTACAACGGCCACGACTTCAGGTGCTCACCGCCCGCAGGCACGGCTCCTCGCCAGCCCCGTCCACTTTCCATCTGTCTGCCTGTTCTGGGGGGTGTGGACAAGGGGAACAGGAGAGGCAGAGAGGGAGAGGGTTGGAATATGGTTGTCTGCAGTGGCCAATGCCTTCTGGTCTCCAGCCCAACCACCCGATCCCTTAGCAGCGTCTGAATAGAGAATTCTCTCACTGTCCCCAGGGCAACCCCATGCTCCTTGACCCCTGCCCTTTAACCCTAGGATAAAGAAGTGCACTGAGGTGACCATAGAAGACCTGCTCTCCATCTTCCACCAGATGGGCCATATCCAGTACTTCCTGCAGTACCAGAACCTCTCTGTGATGTTCCGCGCAGGAGCCAACCCAGCCTTTGAAGAGGCCGTGGGGTCAGTGGCCACCCTCTCGGCCTCCTCCCACAACCACCTGCTCAACATAGGCCTGCTCAGCTTCCAGTACCAGGACTCAGGTGAGGAGGGCCAGGGGACAGTGGGGAGGGCAGCCAGAGCCTGAGGCTGGAACTAGGGTGGGCTGGGGCCAGCGCGCTCCAGGCAGGGACTGAATATCCTGTCCCTGGCTGCCCCTGCCCCCTCCACAGAAGACGAGGTCAATTTCCTGATGGGCATTGCCCTGGAGAAGGTCGCCTTCATCCCCTTTAGCTACCTGGTAGACATGTACCGTTGGAGGGTCTTTGACGGCACCATCCACAAGCACATCTACAACCAGGAGTGGTGGAGCTTCAGGTGGGTCCTGCCCCTGCATCCCCGCCCTCCCCCTCCCACCCCAGGTCCTTCTCCTGGGTGGGCAGTACTTTCAGGCCAGGCCCCGGGGAGCCCCGCAAAGCTGCAGATGGCTGCCGCTCTCTTCTCAGAGTACAGTGTGGGCTGTTGGCTGTTGCCAGACAAATACCTGTGTGTTGAGTGGTAATGCAATCCAGGATCTGCATGAGGCCTTACTTTAAACATGCTCCCAGCACTGCGGAGGTCTCCCACCCTCTCTAAGCCTCAGTCCCATCCTCTGGGCTCTGCCTGCCCCCACGTAGCTGGGAACCTCACATGGTGATCACAACTGGGCCTGTGCAGGAAGGAATCACTGGCCACCACACAGAGCCTCCTGGGAGCAGGGCCAGGGAAAGGGGTGTCTGGGGTCTGAGCACCTTCCTTCCAGTGGAAAGAGACCCCACGGGAGAGAGGCAGGGCTCTCTGCTCCCTCTTGCCTACTGCCCCAACACACATAGCCCCCCAGCCTCCCACTCAGCATCCTCAGACACCTCCCACAGCAGAACTGGCTGACAAAGGAAGCCCCCTTGTCCTGCAGCGTTACCCCTCATCCCACATCCCACTTCCAAGCCTCCCCATCACCCCTAGCAACGGCTCCCTCTCCCACTGTCACCCCCTGGCCCTGGTAGTAACCACCAAAGCCACCCAGGTCCCTGCATTGGCCTGTTGCAGCTATCCACTAAGCATGGGGTCACACCATCACGGTCCTTTCGTGACTGGCTGAGCAGGTCCCACTTAAACTGACATGCAAGGGCTTGCGGGAGACCGTGCACGGTGCAAAGTTGACCTGCGCGCTCGGCTGCTCACTGAACTGTGGGACAGTGGAAGTCTACCCAGAGGTGCCCGGGAAAGAAAGGCTTGTCACCTGCCTTCCTTAACCCCCCCCCCCCCCACTGAAACCCAATAAGCCCAACTCCTCTGATGGACATGGGCTTGACATGAGTGGGAAGGGACCAGACAGTATCTAGTTTAGGGTTGGGGGTCACAGTGGGTGGGGGGAATGGGGGGGGGTGCGGGGCCTGTGGATAGTAAAGGAGACAGCACTTCGAAGGAGGCAAGGCAGCCGACCAGCTTGCTTTTCCTTCCAGGTTGAAGTACCAGGGCGTGTGTCCCCCCATGTCTCGGTCAGAAGACGATTTTGACCCGGGCTCCAAGTACCACATTTCTGCCAGCATTCCCTACATTCGGTAAAGGCCTGGGCCCTGGCAGCATGGCCAGTTTGGGTCGGGGGGTGGGGGGTGGCGGGGTGGAGGGGGTGTTTGCAGTAGGGGGAGGGCTAGGATGTCCAGAAAGGTCTTGGTTCCAAACCTCCCCCTCCACACATCACCACCACCACCTCCCCATCTCTGCTCGGTGGGTTGCACACCCCTGAGAGGCCGCTTCCCCACCCTCCAGAATCCTTTGGGCTTTTAGACTAGATCCTACGTGGAGGGCAGAGCCTATGGGAAGATTCCACAGTCTCTCTGCTTCCCCCTAGGAGAGGGCAGGAGAGAGAAAGGCCAGGGCTGAGATGACTAAGGTTCAGAAGGCTGGAGAAGGAAGCCAGCCCTCTGGAGTTTTAAGGTCAGCCCGAGGTGAGGCCTGATCCAAGGAGCCGCCGGGGCTGCAGAGACTGTCCTCTGCCCAGGCGGTGACTGCCGACCTGGGCCCACCTGCACGTCACAGAGCCACTGCAGGTCAGCGCTGCATCCCGCCCAGTAGCCACTCCCCAGCCGGCCCTCGTGTTTGCCCGCAGGTATTTCATCAGCTTGGTGCTGCAGTTCCAGTTCCACGAAGCCTTGTGCAAGGCCTCCAACCACGTGGGCCCGCTGCACCAGTGTAACATCTACAACTCCAAGAAGGCCGGGAAGCTGCTTGAGTGAGTGCCCTCCTTCCCGCGGGCTCTTCAGGGTCCTGCCCCTCCCCGCTCCCAGGCCCCTCCCCATAGCTGCCAGTCAGGCCCCTTGAGCAGAGCCCAGCGGAAGTTCCTCCTGGGGCAGATGGAAGTCTCTCCTATCATACAAGGAGCCCAGGTCCTCTAGTGCAGCCCCAGTGATCAGAGAACTCCCTCCAGGGAACACGCGCGTGCGCACGCATGTAACTCAAAGTGTCCCGGATGAGGAGGCAGCACTAGAGTCCTGCCTCAACCTGGGCTCCGACTGGATCTGAGTATCTCCACTCTCCGCCTGTCCCCCCACCATATAAAGCGCTTCCCTCTGCCCAGGGCGCACTTTGCTTTTCTCCTATCTTCTTGGAAGTTCCCAGATCTGGCTTCGCCTTGACCCAGGTTGCTTTCACACAAGCTTCTTAGCCGGCTGTGTTCCACTTTGACACTCTGGTCTTTTTTCCCTGCACTTGGGATCTAACCCATCCTTCCCCTAGCTATCTCTGCGGGGTTGATTTTTGGTCTGGAAGCAGACTAGGAGAGGGGAGAGGCTTGAATTTTACTATAGATGCTGGGTTCTCTTTTTGGGTGGGGAGGGTGTATCTTGTTACTTGGGGTGGGGGCTGCTTGTTTTAGTAGCTCACAACTTTTCAAAGTGAATGGTGTTAGAGAGCCTCTAACAAATCACCACAGGTCCAGTCGTTGCAATTGTACGACGATAATAAGTAAAGATTATAGTAAAGTCATGGAGAACATGAGACATAGAAGAGATTGGAATAATGGAGTCAGACACATTTCATAGTAGCATGCTCGCCTCAGCCCCACTTGGTGGTCCACGTGGAAAGAGCTGGGCCCCGTTTACTGCTAACCAAGGCTTATATCTACTTAGGCAGGCGTGATCACAGGTAACCACACATCACAGGAAGGGGATGAGCTGGGGTGTTGTGTGCACATAGGAAGGGGAGGGACTAGGGGAATACATGTCATAAGAAAGGCGGACCCTAGACTCATGATGGTGGCCTAACCTTGTCACCTTTGAGTGGGCTTGACCTCCCTGGGCTCCCCTTCAGGGAAACAACTTACTACTATCCTTATCAGAAGGGAGTGGGCCCTACTTATTGTGGGATAAGCAGTGGTGACTGCTTGCTCTAGATGGCTGATAACCCTTAGGGAGAATGACCCCTGATCTACTTCTGATGACCTCCAAGTATATAGTCACTTGCCAGGTGTAGCGAGCAGCTAAGTTTGGCGTATATTTGGCGGAGACATCTTGGGAGAAATCCTCCTGTTTCCCACAGTTTTCCACACCATTTTACAAATGATGAAACTGAAGCTGTGAGGTGAAGTGATTGTCGCTCACCCAGTAAGTGGTAAAACTGTGCTTCGAACCCAGAACTGGTTCCAGAGCACACTATCTGGTATCCCATGGCCTCTCACCAATCAAAGGAGGGAGGTCCTGGTGAGATTAGACTCAGGTCTACCAGCCTATTGCTTTTTCACCCTTTTACCCCCTAGGGGCTTATCTCGGTCAACTGTCTGGAGTTGAGCCTCTCTGAGTGGTGTAGTGGTTCAATGTGGGGCTTTAGTCCACAAAGTGAGCAGTTCAAAACTATCAGCCGCTCAGTGGGAGACAGAAGGGCACTTTCTACTCCCCTGAAGAGTTCCAGCCTCAGGGACTCACAGGGACAGCTCGACCCTGTCCTGGAGGGTTGCTATGAGTCAGCATCCGCTCGATGACAGCGGGTTTGGGTGGTTTTGTGTGCGTGAATGTGTTGAACATAAGGACGCTTTGATGCTCTCGGTTTCCACTCAGCGGTTCTCAACCTGTGGGTCGGACCCCTTTGGGGGTCGGACGACCCTTCCACAGGGGTCGCCCGATTCATAACAGTAAAATGGCAGTGATGAAGTAGCAACTAAAATAATTTTAGGGTTGGGGAGTCACCACAACATGAGGAACTGTATGAAAGGGTCGCGGCATGAGGAAGGTTGAGAACCACTGACTGACCTGGTTGGCCCCATGCCACGTATTCATTCACCAAACACCAACTAGTACTTGTGCAGGTGGGGACCAGCCAGCCCTGTGTGTCTGGTCCACCAGGGGGCAATGTCGTTGCTGTGAGTCTGAGTTTACCTCCCAGAGACACTGAGCCGGACTAGAACGGCCTTACCAGTTTTCTAGGCTGTAATCTCTACAGAAGCAAATCCCCAGGTCCTTCTCCCAAGGAGCTGCTGGGCGAATGCCAACCAACCTTTGGACTAGAAGTCAAGCTGTTAGCCATTGGCATCATTCAAGGGCTCTTCTCTTGCCTAATGTAGCTTATAACTTGATTTTTCTACTTCCAACTCTTCCTTCTAAGCATGATTGCCCTGGGTCAGCCTCTGGGCTGCTTCTGCTGGGAATGGCAGTTGACTTGGGCCTGAACTAAGTCCCCCAAGTCCCCCTGCCTCATCCAGCCAGCATGGTGGGACTGGCCTTGCCCGGGGGTCACATGGCTGCCATCTTGGTGTGGGGACTCCAGGTAGTGCTCAGTTGCCATTCTCTGACCCATTTGCAGCCCTCTGACCACCTGTGCCACCCACGTGGGTGATTAGCTGGGCTTTGTCACACATCTTGTCTCACCCAGCCAGAAGGAACTTCTCTAACTAGGTAGATGCTCAGTGATCCAAACTGTCCCCTACTAGGTCCTGTCTTCTTCCTAGTGCCCAGCATCTGAAAAGATTTTTCCTCTTGCCTAAATCAGTTGTGTTTTGCTTTGTTTGAAACTTGAGAACCTCTCTCTCCCTTTCTGTAGGATCTTAACTCTCCCTGCCCCACCCTACCCCCAGTGTTTTCTGCTAGAAACCAGCTGACTGGTCATTCTCCCACCTCATTCTTCCCCCATCGTTGACGTGTGTGGATTAGTCCTTGGAGTTTCAAAGCTCTCTTTCACCGTCATTGTGTAGCTTCCTCCTCACCCAAAGGAAAGATGAGATGAATGGGCCCATGTTACTAATGAGAACGTTGGTTGTCTGAGGGTGATATTGGGTTTGAACTTGGTTGGCCCACACTTTGACCCCTGGGCCTCTAGGGCTCGCCTGTCTCCTGGCTGGATCTGAGAACAGGTTGAGAAGGATCCATATAAGTCACTGCTGCCTGCTCTGGGGAACCTGGGTGGAAGAGCCTGAATACCTTGCTTCAGTACACCCCTATCCTACAGTGGTTAACCACCTGCCACCAAGCCACAGGTGTGTCTTGAGCTAGCATTTGGCCAGTTCTGCAGACAGCATAAGGAGCTCTGGTGGCACAGTGGTTATGTGTTGGGCTGCTAACTGCAAGGTCAGCTGTTGAAAACCACATGCTGCTTCTTCAGGAGAAAGACCAGGCTTTCTACTTCAATAAAGTTACAGTCTCAGAAACTCATGGGGCCAGTTCTATCCTGCCCCATAGGGTCACTATGAGTTGACATCGGTTTGCTGACAGTGAGTTGAGTGGGCAGTGTACGGAGCATGTGCCCTGCTCGTTTGCTCTCTAATTCTCCCAAGCATGCTTTGCGAGATGAGAAAGGGCTGAAAGCTGCCCCTGCTTACTGTCATTGAGTACCTTATGGGAAACAGTATCTCAAGACTTTCTGCCTATTTGTGTTTAGGAGGACCCTATAAGAATTACAGTAACCAAAATAATGATTACTATTAAATCTACTGCCATTGAGTCAATTCCAACTCACAGTTATACCATAGGACAGAGCAGAACTGCCCTGTTGGGTTTCCCAGGTTAAGACTCACTGGGGGAGCAGACAGCCTCAGTCTTCTCCCATGGAGCTGCTGGTGGGTTTGAACCGATGACCTTGCAGTTAGCAGCCTACTGGTAAATAGCTATGCCCCCAGGGTTCCAGTTAATGATTATCATTAAAATGCTAAGACTACTACCATCAAGTTGATGCCAACTGATAATGACCCTATAGGACGGGGGTAGAACCGCCCACGTGACTTTCTGAGACTGTGACTGTTTACAGGAGTAGAAAGCCTGTCTTTCTCCCGCAGAGCCACAGGTGGCTTCAAACTGCCGACCTTGAGGTTAGAAGCCCAACGTGTAACTGCTATGTCACCAAGGCTGCTCAACAACGATTAGTATTAGCAGTGATTATTTCTGGCCTGTATACAGTGCTTCCACTCTTGTGCTTATCATCACAAGAGCACGGTCAGACTCTCACCCCCATTTTATGGATATGGAAACTGAGGCTCAGAAAGGTTATTTACTCAAGCGTGTGTCCGAGCTCCGAGCGGGGATGGAAACCCAGGCCTGCCTTGTTTCACACCTCGTGAATATATTCACTGTAATGAGCTTGCAAAGCCGCAGATCAAGGTTGGGCGTGGGTACCTGACTGCTGTACCTCTTCTTCCAGGGAGGCTCTAAAAGTGGGGTCTAGTCAGCCCTGGCCAGAGGTCCTGAAGAGGCTGACTGGGGAGTCGCAGTTGTCTGCAAAGGCCTTACTGACCTACTTCAGGCCGCTGATGAACTGGCTGGTCACTGAGAACGTGCGGCACGGGGAGATCCTGGGCTGGCCAGAATTCAGCTGTAACTTTGAAGGTTTGATGATCTAGTCCTGGTCCAGCCCCAGCCCCTGTCCAAACCCCTACCCCAACCCCATCTTCACCCCCAGCCCATCTATGACCTGGTTTGAACGCACAAGGCTGCTGTGGTACCTCAGCCAAGACCCTCAGCCCCAGCCCCCGGCTCCATTGATTGCTTGGACAGTGTTACCAGCTTGACAGCCAGGCTGCTATCTGAGCACAGGGTCAGCATCTTGCCTTACACGGAGCCACTGGTGGGCTCCTTGGGGAATGACGTCCTATCTGCCCCCATCTCCTCCTCCTCTTCTTTCTATGCCTCCTTCTAGGGCCATGCCCTCACTTGTGCTTTGGCAGTAGGTGCTTCAGGCTAAGGGGAAAGACCAGTGGAAATCCAATCTCGACAGCCCTAGGGAGCCCTGGGCCCCTCCCTGGTGCCACCTACCCTATGAGCCTCCATGTCGCCCACAGAAAGAGAGAAGGAAACGGTGTCATTTCTGGGTCTGGAGCTGGACGCTGAGCAGGCCAAGATAGGGCAGTGGGTGCTGCTGGTCCTGAGCCTTGTCATGGTCCTCACAATCCTGATGCTGGGCCACAGGGTGTACAAACTGTGCAATCGGACCACGGCCGGGGACTCTGGGGTCTACTTCCTGGGCATGCTCATGGAGCCGCACCAGGCTGCCCAGGGCCAGTGGATCCTGCTGGGCCTCTGCCTCATTCTGTTCGTGTGTATCATTGGCCTGATCATCAAGAACTTCACCCAGCATAGCAAGAAGCCTCCGTGGATGATAGCCGAGTTGTGGAGCCATCCCTAGACACCCAGTGAGACTGGTAAATTGGGGAGGGGGAGGAGGAGGGTGGCCCAACCAGAGACAGCTGTGGGACAGAGGAGGAGACAGCCTGCATGCGCCGGGTGGGTACAGTTAGGCAGAGCTGGCTCTACGTGGGGCTGGGGTTTGTTTGTGTTAGCAAACTCCTATATACATATGCAAGGCCAGGTGTACAAGCCACTGTGATTCCATGTACACCCTGATCAGCCCCACCTCCTCCTCCCAGGGCCTCAGGAAGCTTCCAAACCAGCCTCCAGCCAATTTGCTCTCAGGACTGGCACTTCACACTGCCTTGGTTTCTTCGGGAGCCCTGGCCGGTGGGCGCTGGGCTGGGCTGGGCAGGGTTAGATAAAGGAATCCCCTTCTAAAATGTGCTCCAGTAGAACCAAACGTGCCTTTAGGTCCCTCTGTGCCCAGCTGATGAGCACCATGTTTTTGACACCGGCCCACACAGCCCTCTGCTAGTGCCCTGGCCCCTCTCAGGTCGGGCTGCGTCATCGTCATCCAGCCCCTAAGAGCCCCTGAGATGCACGTAATAACCTGACAAATTGTCCTGTGGCCCGCCCCGGCCTGGCCCAGGCCCTCCCAAGTAGAGACAGTGGGTAGCTGGGCAGGGATCCAGGCTGGATTAATGATTGACTTCTTTAATATTTAAACAAAGCTCATCTCCAGCCACTCCAGTCCGGAGATAGCTCTGTTCAACACACACCTGCTGCCTGGCCCGTTGCCCCGGGAATGGAGCAGGGCAAACAGCACCTTTCCAATCTCCCTGGGGGAGGGGCGGGGGAGGGCTGCAGAGGGACCTCTGGGTATGAGTGCTCTAAGAATAATACCTGGGACTGGAGCCTTTGCCAGTGGGGTCTGCCGGCCATAGCCACACCATGCCCAAGCCTGAGGGACCCCCAGTAGTTCCTGGAGGGTCAGGGGGGGATTTGTAGGGAGGTAGTATCCTAGCAAGCACCCACAAAAAAGGGGTATCCAGGAGGAGTTTGGGATACGGGAGGTTCTGGTTTGTGCAAACGGCAAGGTTAGCTTTTCAAATCTACTGGAAGGTCCCTCAGAATGACCTGACAATCGCTTCTGTAAGGCCACAGTCCAGTGCAGTTTCACTGTGAAACCCACAAGGTTGCCAGGGGTCAGAACAGACTCCATAGCAACTGGACCAGTGTGGGTGTGGGTGTGGGTGTGGGTGTTTCCTGTGGGCGGAGCTGAGCCCAAGCACGGCCACTGCAACCCCAGTCTCCCCAGGGTCTTCATTTGATGCCTCCTATTTTGTTGTGGCACAAGGTCCCTGTCTGCCTGTTACTAGTTGATAAGGCAAGGCACATGCCGCTGGGAACTTGCCCACCTGTGTTCCCCTCCCCCGCTACCCCCAGCCCACAGGGGGACTTGGAGAATGTTTGAATGAGCAAGCGCATGGAAGAATGAGCAGCGTCCTGCCAAGTCCCCCTTCAGAGCTCAACACCCCAGCGCTGAACCCAGGAGAAACAGCCCCACCTTTCCTCCACAGCCAGCCTGCCCTTCCACACACAGGGGCAGCCAGGACACCTCTGCCCCTAGGAGGCCACATTTGATGCTCTCCCATACCCCTGGGCACTGCGGCCAACGAGGAGGTCCCCACAAGGCACGGTGGCTCTTGAGGCAACAGCGTACCCGGCCCCCGGGGCTCCAGCAAAACTCTTACTGAGCCTCCTTGCCCTCCTCCCCTCCCCCACTGGCCATTGTAAAGTTTATTTCACCAGAATATTCTTTTATGCCTAACTGCCTAAAAACGTGGCTTTTGGCACGTCGAATCATCATCAATTAAATCTAGCTGTTGGAAACGGCATCCCTTTCCTCCTACCTCATTTGTTTTGTCAGTCTCTCTGACTCTGAGCCTGAGCCCCCACTGCCTGGTACCCTCCCTCCTCAAAGGCCTGGCCTCACTGGTCATTGGACCCTCGGCAAACTTCAAGCCATGCGATACCCAGCGAAGAGTAGTCCCTTCTACCCAAGAAACCTCCTCCCCAAGGCCGTCCCCTCTCCTCATCTGCTCCTGGGCGCAGGTTCGCGGGCAGCACTGGACTGCTGTTATCAGTGGTCACTGGCTAAGAGGTGGTTTTAAATAGAGTCTCCTTCCCCGAGAGGCTAGGTGTGCTGAGAGCGCTCCGGCTCTGGTGGAGCCACTTGATGGCTTCTTTCTCCTTCTGTGCCTCCGGGTACACTCCTTCCCCACCGCCTGGAAGGGAGCTTTATGTGGGCACGGGGCTCAGGCGCAGGGCACTCGGCAGAGGCGGGCAGCCCTCATGGGCTCAGCAATCAGAACCAGAGGGAGAACACGATCTCCTGAGACACCACCACCCCCCACCCCGCCCCCAAGTAACTCCTTCTGCCGCCCGATCCCCTGCCTGGCTGGGAGAGAGGGGGAGAGGGCCCGAGGGCTCCAGCATTTGGGACCACAGAGGAAGCTTTCCAAAGAAGACCGGCCTCCTGCCAGGCCCGGGACCCCCGCCCCGCCCCTAGGGCCCGCCCCCTAGGCCCCGCCC